TGGGTGAGGCTGGGGGACATTTGTGGTTGTCACAACTGGGGAAGGAGTGCATTGAGTGGGTGTGGAGGGCTGACATGCTGCTCAACACCTTGCAACCACTCCCCCAGAGAAGGATCCAGACCCTATGTCAGCAGTACTGGGGGAGGAATGCAAGCCCTGCCCCTGACCCCCAGGCCCAAATAGCAGGACAGGCTGGACAAAGTGGCCCCTGGAAAGTTTGGAGCTCTGCCCAACACACACATACTCACGCGCCCGCACCTCATGGCTGACACCTTTTGGGGCCAAGTCGCCTTCACCCTGAAGACCTTGGCAGGGCCCCACCTGGCTCTTTGTCCCTGTCCAGTCCCCACTTCCTTGATCCCTGCAGGGCCCCGGCTGGCAGGCAGCCCATTGTGGGGAGGGGTGAGGGGTGCCAGGGCAGCTGTCTGAAGCCACGAGAGGCTCAGAGCTCAGGAGGGGTGTCCTGAGCTGCAATGGTCATGGTTCCCCCTCTGTACACACTTGATGGGGGCCTCAAGATTCTTGTGGGTAGAGAGTGGAGGAGGCAGCGAGATACCCAGCCCTCCACGGGACCCCAAATACCCTTTGCTGGAACCTGCACCTTGGCAGCTTCCCCTAGGGGGAAACCCACCTGTGGCCCCTTGATGGTTGGGGAAGGGGTTATGGGCAAGGCCCACTGGACGGATGTACGGGCAGACAGAGGGACAGAAAGGCAGAAGACCTCCCAGAGTGCTTGCTCTAAATCTAAGACAGCTATCAAACCAGCCCCACCCCCACCCCACCCCACCCCCGCAAATGTCCTAATACCACCAAAGTCACAGAGGCAGAGAGGACCTGGGAGGTGGGTGTGGGGTGTGGAGGTGAAAGGTGAACGTGAGGGACACAGAGGACCCTGAGGAAAAGGGATGGGGTCCCAGGAGATGGGGGGACAGGAGCCTGGCTAAGAGAGGGGACCTTGGGAGGTGAGAGGCGGGGATCCTGCCTCCTGTCCCCCATTCTATTTCAGGACCATGCTCCCCCACCCCCACCCCCACCCACCCCAACATCTGCTGCTCCCCATCAAGTAGCACTCCGCAGTGTCTCCATCAGCAATTACTCCGCCGGCGCCGGGGGCACCGCCCCCGCCTCATTCCAACGGGGCCAGAGCCGCTGCACCCGAGCGACCCGTCCTTCCCACCCCAGCCCCCAAGGGGGCGTCCTGGGAGAGGGGAGGGCAGCTGAGGACAGAGTGGGACTCGCAACCTCAGACCCGCCACATGCTCTCCTGGGGCCCCCACATCCACCCAGTGGGTTCTGGAGGCCTGGGGGCTCCCACAAAACCGCCTCCTCTCCTTTCACCAGCGCTGGACAGGGTCCGGGAACAAGGGAGCGTCCGGAAGGAAGGCTGTCAGGGGGCCGGAGGGGAGGAGGACTAGTCAGTACCCCTCCCCAGCAGAGATGCCAGGGGGGTCCGAAGGGGGGCGGCAACCAAACGGAGTTCATCTGGACTCTGAACACAAACCCCAAGGGAGCTAGCGACGGGGGACAAAGGCCAAGGAGTGAGTGGACAAAGGAGTACCCCACCTCTGTCCCCACCTCTTCACCTCCAGAAGGGCTAAGACAAGTCACACATCACCCCAAGACAGACATGCATTATGGCACCGCCTGACCTGGGCGGGGAGTCCCGTCCCTGTCCCCCCCCACACAAGGACAAGGAGAGCCAGTGACCTGGCTGCTCCCCTCAACAGCTCTTCCTGGCCCCTGCTCTCAGGCACCAAGGCTCTGTGTTTCAGATGTCCTTTTAATGGGGGGAAGGTCTCGCTTCACCACTGTGTGTCACCGTCCTGGGCGCCTCGAGGGGCCACGTTCTGCGTGGGGCCCGGGATCGGGAGGGGGAGCGAATGATTTGGGTACTTACTTTTCTTTTTGTCTCACAACAGGGGGGTTAAAGGTCTCGGGGAATGAAGAAGCCGCTGGGGGCTGGCGGGCCTGACTTTATAGGGGCGGCTGGTGGCCTGGGCAGTTATTAATAGCGGCGTCTCCGGCGCCTGCAGCTTCGTGTCCAACTATGGTCAAGATGGAGCAACTGTGGGTTTGGTTGGCCTCAGGCCCCCTTCCACACCTACCGCGTGACCTGTGCCCCACAGAGGCTGCCAACCACCCAGAGTAACTTGGCATTAGTCGGTCTGATCCTCTGGGTGGCACAAATAGTTAAGCAAGCGCTTGTCTTAGTTGCCTGTGGTGGTTGGTAGGTGTGTGCTGTGAAGTTGGTTCCAACTCATAGAGACCCTGTATGGAGTTTCTGAGAAGAGACTGGTGAGCTTGAACCGTCGACATTGCAGTCCAGAGCATTAACCCACAGCGCCCACACCAGGAGCCAAAGCCTCATCTTTCTCCCGCGGAGATTCGAACTGCTGACATTTAGGATAACAGCCCAGCTCGATCCACTACGCTTGTTATCAGGGCTCATTTTAGTTCCCTAGTGTTAGCGTAGTGGTTACGAATCGCAAGGTCAGCAGTTCGAAACTACCAGCCATTCCGCAGGAGAAAGATGAGGCTTTGTGCTCCGGTATACAGCCTCGGAAACCGCATACAGGGTCCTACTCCACCGCAACCAGTATTGCTATAACAGAAAGACCACAAGGGGGAGCTTTAATGAACAGATGTTTCTTTTTTCACGGTTCCAGAGACTCAAAGTCTGAATTCAGGGTTAGAAAGATCCTCATCTCTTTCAGCTTCCTCATGTGATACCTATTTTCCCCCATCTGTGTTTGCTTGCCTCCTTGCCTAATCTGCTCCCTCTTACTTCTCAAAACTCATCGGCTGTGGCCCTTACATAATAATGACAATCCTATTCCCAAATATAAGGGTTAACATTTACTTTTTTTTTTTTAGCAGGACACAGTTTCATCATTAACTTTCAGCAGTCGACTACTAGCGTTGAAAGGTTGGTGGTTCGAAACCACCCAGCGGCACCATGAATCGGAGGCCTGGGGTCATGTGCTTCAGAATGGTTACATGGCATTCGGCTTCCCCCCTCCTCCCCTTTATGCTTGCTTCTGTCTCCTCTGTTCTTTTAATAACTCAGAGGTGATTAGGGTCAGGACTCAGCCTACACTGGCAAGAATGAACCGGCAGATGCACAGAGAGCAATCGGATTAGTGGTTGCTAGGGGGATCTGGGGAAGTGCTGTGGGTTAATGCGCTCGACTGCAAAGCCCTTTGAACTGCAAGGTTGGTGGTTCAAGCTCACCAACTGCTCTTCGGACACCTGACACAGGGTCGCCATGGGTGGGGATCGACTCGATGGCACTTAACAGGGAGACCTGGGACAGAGGTGTGGGGGGTGACTGCTGAAAGGTATCGAGTTCTTTGGGGTGCTGTTCATAGTCTACAAGTGATGATGGGTGCTGAACTGTACACATTCTGTGGGTGAATTTTATCACACTTCAGACGAGAAATCTGCCTTTGGGTGTATGTAATGAGGTAATCGAGAAGCCAGCAGGAGGGATATAGGCCAGGGCGCCCTTCCTTGGCACATTTCTGGCGGCTGCTCCGAACTACTGAGGTAGCCCTCCTCAGCTGGCAAGGCTGGGGATTTGTCTGCCTGTCACCTTCTGGCTACACTCTACTGTTCAGGAGCACTGTAGACGCCCATGCACACGCCAGGCACCCTTTGGATCTCCCTGCGTCTCGGGCAAGCAGTGGGCTAGGACACCCCTATGATCTGCCTCTGATGACTCCCAAACTTTCCCCTCAATGCGAGGGAAAGGTCAAGGTCAGCCAGGCCCAAGGGTCTACAGAAAAGGAGGCAGCAGAAGAGGAAAAACATATGGCTCAAGAGGTGATATCATTCAGCTGGCCCCCTGCTCGGTGTGAACCACAAGACACAAGGTGTCAGGAAAATTGGAATTTTATTTTAGTTGCAACAGGCGTGTTCTTGCATAGGCTGTGCATGTGTGCAGAGCTCCTGGATGGGGATGGGAACATACAGGCCTCCCATTTCAGGTCCCCACCCCCACCCCCGACACAGACACCCAGGTTCCAGTGTCCCCAAGTCTCCACTAGGGACGTTCTTGGGCATGGAGTCACAGAGCGAAGATGACGTCCAGGGACTGGCAGCAGTATTGCAGCTGCTGGCCGTTCTGGACATATCTGCAGTAATTTCCTGTGAGCAGGTTTCTATAGCAGGAACCCCAGCGACTGTCCCATGAGAGGACAGACGTGCAAATTTCCCCTTTGGCAGGGACCTGGGACTGGTCCTTACACCCACAGTGAGACAGGATGGTCTAGGGCCTCCCAGGGACTGAAGCTGCAGGGACCAGGAGGTGAGCACTCGCTAAGGGCATTCTCTAGAAGCTTGCATCCGCATTACTAGAGAGCTGGCCGGTAGGATTCACCCCAACATCTCGGTAGGTGGACAGTGTGTGAGACAGGAGGCAAGGGCCCACCACTCCCCACTGCCCCTGAATCGGGGTGCCCAACTTTTATGGACGTTTCCCACCACCTCCAGATCAAAAGGCTAAGAACTGGGGCTCTCGCTCAGCGTTGTCCCCAGCAAGAAGGATGGGGTACATCAGAGAAGATGAATCCAATTTCATGTGCATTCTCAGTAAAGGCAGGTTCCCAGACCAAAGGGCCTGCTGAGGCCCTGGGATGAGACCCCGAACCCACCAAGGCCGGAGTCCACCTTCACCGCTGGGGTTGGGTGAGGCTGCAGGAAAGGGCTGGGCCTTAATTCCAGGTGTAGACCCGGTTTCTGGTCAGGCCGTAAGCATCTGAGTCCCAAGGAGTGACCCCAGCCTGGAATACTGATGGGAGAAACCAGACTTGCGGGGAGGATTCCGACGCAGACGCTCTAACTACAACCTAAAACCACTACGCACACTGGCGCACTCCCGGCCCCTAGCGGCCCCAACACAGGTGCCCGCCTCCCTCACCCCTGTGTCCCCAGCGCAGGCGCACTCCCCCGGCCCTCCCCACCCGCCCTGGCGGCCCCAGCGCAGAAGCATTCCTCGGGGTCCTAGCGCAGGCCACAGTCCCCGGCCTGCAGCTTCTCTTGCTCCAGGGCGCGCACTAGCTCTTGCACAAAGCGCATCTCGGACGCCACCTGCTGGGCCAGAGCCTCGTAGCGGTTCTCCAGGCGGCTGAAGCGGCGCTTGAGGCCGCTGGCGCCCAGCAGCGCGCCCTTGGCTTCTTCCTGGACCTGCCGCTTGAGCGCCTCGGTCTTGTGCAGCTCCTGGCGCAGGCGCCGCAGGTCCTGGCCGATGGTCTCGTGCTCCTCCTTGTACCAGGCCTCCTTCTCCTCGTAGATTGCCGTCAGCGTCTCGATGTCCTCGCGGAAGTGCCGCTTGCTGCGCTCCAGCTCGCGCAGCCCCTCCTCGGCAGCCGCCACCTCCTCCAGCACCTTGGAGAAGCGCTCAAAGTTGATGTAGGTGTTGTTGGGCGGCATGCTCGAGTGAGACTTGATGGTGTACTCCTTGAGGCGCGTGGTCTTCAGCCGCCGCCGCTCAGGCTTCCGGCCGCTCTCCTCGCTCCGCACGTTCCGCCGCTTGATTGCCTGCGGAGGGGCGGAGGGGAGGTCTGGCGCAGGGGTCCGCAAACCACGGCCCTTCGCGGGGTTTTGGAAACTTTTACTGGCACATGGCCATGCTTTTAGGAACAGTTTCGTGACCCTGGCCTATTTTCTGGGGGAGCGAATCCTGACAGGTGCACGTGAGCTCAGGCATGCCTCCGCATGCCACCCCCACATCCTGCTCCTCTGGGGTCTCCTCCCTGCTAGTCTGGTACAGGGAGACCCCTCACACCCCAGATAGGGTTAAATACAGGCAGCTGAATGGGGCTGTGAGAAGCCCAGGTCCATACCTTGATCCAGGAATGTTCCAGGCTCTGGGCAATGGTCATTCTCCTCCTGCAAGAACCCCGGCCCCAGGGGCCTTAATCACCTGAGTGCCAGCTGCACATCCCACCCTCCCTGAGGGGGCTGGACAGGTAGCAGCTGGAGCTGACCTGTGGCCACATGGCCCTCAGGGTAACTAGTCCAGGAATGACCCTACACCTGCACCTACAGGCAGCGGGTGCATGCAGAGTGTATCTCGGGGGGATTTAGCAACATAGCGGTGACCCAACTCTGTGCTTGTCATTCTGGTTCCCAAGCTGGGATTGGGGATACAGGGGGCTGGGAAGACAACAAAACCAGACAATGCACATGGGGGGGGGGGGGGGGGGGTGCTGTTTATCACTGAGGACCCACTGTCGCCAGGACTGTTCTAGAAAGAAACAAATCTGGAATGTGACATGAAATCCTGACTTAGAATTTTTGCAAATACAGTGTGAGCCCGGTACAGCCCATCTGCTGCCTCCCCTCGGATAAGGATGTGTACTTTGACGCCCACGACATGAGGTGGCAGCAGGGAGAGAGCCGGGTCCTACCATGCCATCACTCAGATCTGCCCCCACAAGCTCCCTGGGCCTACCCACAGGGCTGCCTCTCAACCCCCCTGAAGCCCGGCTCCTACTTGGGGTCTTTGACGAGCAGCCGGCGGATGAAGTCCTTGGCCAGCTCGCTGGTGCTGCTGAAGTATTCCTCATCGAAGTCGTAGTTCACGGCCGAGATGTTGGTCAGTGTCTCCTGCTTGGTCTCACCCAGGAATGGGGACGCGCCACTTAAGCTGGAGGAGGGACAGGCACGGGTGGGGGTGGGGGTGGGGGTGCGTCTCAACACATGCTGCCATTTCCTGGGATACCACCCCAAGTGCGTGCTCATATGGTAAGCAGCCAATTGAAGGGGAGGCTGAGGGCGTGTCCCCAGGCCCCCTGACAGAAGGTGTCTAAAGTCCACCGCCCTCGCACTGACGGCTGCTAAACAGAGTGGGCAGAAATTGAAGCAGGATCATGAAGCATCCAGATGGGTGGTTCAGACCCAGATGGGCATCACCAATGACAGGACAGTAGCAACATGACACATTCAGGCCTCCATAGCATCTTTCCAACAACACTATGGGGGCCTCCCCACCTCCTAGCCCCCACACATATGTCGGTGTACAACTGTGTCTCACAGATGGAAAGATGACCAGGCCTTTCATCTGAGGAGCTTCCGGGTGGACACAGCCTTTTTGGTGAGCAGCTGCGCACATTCACCATTTGTGCCACCCAGGGACCCTTAGTTTATGAATTCCCCACCCCCCGATGTTCACTGAACACCTCCTGCACCCAGGCTGCTCCTGACCCTTGCCCCACCCCTCCAATCACTCAGGTCTCCCCTGGCGCCATCCACTCCCATCACCTGGGTCCCCAGCACTCACAGGATGTAGGTGATGACCCCGATGCTCCTGAGGGACAGACAAGGAGAATGGGTCAGCTCAGTCTTGGGAACACTTAGAGCCCTGCTCTCTGAGTGAGACCCTGCCTTCCTGTAGGGAGCTGTACCACCTGCCGTCCCACCCAACAATCTTAGAGCTGACCAACAGATAACTGAGTCCCCAGAGCGAACCCAGGCAGGTGATAGGAACAATTACGGGCTCTTGCTAGCCTAACTCAGAGTTAGAAAATTCTTTCTAGAAAGGACCAGACAATAAATAAAACATCTCAATCACATAGTCTTTGGAGGGTTTTCTTGTTTTGATTTTTAAACTATTTTTAAAAAGGAAAGAACCTTCTTAGCACATGGGTCCTACAATGTAGGCCGGGGGCTGGATCTGGCCCAAGGGTTGGAGTTTACCGACCCATCCTGAGGGGATAAATCCTCCCCAGCCCCCAGGCATCAGGATCCCACACCCCAAGCCTGCAGCTCCCAGAGTGCAGAGGGCAAGGAGCAGGAGGGATGCCTGTCCTTGGGGCCGCCCACTGCAGGGGGACACCAGTGTGGGCAGGAGCAGGGAGCTGCATTTTGCGGATGCTGGACCCAGCTGACCCCACTGCCCGACACTCACCACATGTCAGCCTCCAGCCCCAGGGGCTCATAGTTGACGATCTCGGGAGCTGCAGGGACAGGGACGCACGAGATGTCAAACTTGTGGGGGAAACATTTAGCAGAGAACTACATATTGTGTTGTAGGGGACACGGGTGAGAGTATACCAGTTAGAGGTCTGGGGGACAAGCTTGGGGAGATGTGATCCAGGCATGAGGGTCCAAGACCCCATATCTTACACTTCCCTGGGGAAAGTCTTGATGGCCACTTCCCAGGACCTGGGAGCCCATCAAAGCCTCACCTACAAACTCAGGGGTTCCAAAGATATTCTTGAACTCGTTGCCAGCCTCAATCTTGTGGGCAATGCCGAAGTCGATGAGCTTGATGCGGGGGCTGGGCACTCCCTTGTCTAGGAGCATGATGTTCTCAGGCTGAGGGGAGGGGGAACAGGAGGTCCATAGCGGACTCTGCAGCTGATAGAACAGCATCTGCAGAGCCCCCTCTCTTCCCCAAGAGCCCCTTCTTCCCTCAGCCCATGAGAGCGAGCTGAGCCCACCCTGCGTGCCCCGGGGCCACTCATCACGTGCCCATGAGGCTGGGCCCAGCTTCCCATCACTGGAGCAAGCTGTCTGAAATGGCTTGATGGCCACAGTATTGGGTTTGGTTCTGTAAGTCGGGAAGGTCCCAGTTTTGCTGGCATGTCAGTCATGGGACATGAGATCAACCTCCTGGCATTGTGCACATTAGTTCTCAAGTGGTGGTGACTGTGTGCCGTGGGGTCAGTTCTGACTCATAGCGACCCTGTACAGGGTTTCTGAAGCTGGAAATCTTTACAGGAGCAGAAAGTCTCATCTTTCTCCCACGAAACTGCTGGGAGTTTTGAACTGCTGACCCTGAGCTTAGCAGCCTGATTTGTAACCAGTACGGTACCAGTTCTCAAGAGCAATGCACTTATTTCAGAAAACTAAATTTGGGGTATTTTGTTTTTTTTTAATAAAAAACAAAAACTTTTCTGTGTGAATTGAGTGAAGGTTTCCAGAACAGATCATCAGTCCCACATTCGACAAATCCTACACCGTGTTTCATGACAATGATTGCATTGCCCTGGGTGCACCATCGGTTCACAGTATTTAACCTCTACTCTGGTAGCGTAGTGGTTACGAATCAGGCTGCGAACCCTGAGGTCAGCAGTTCGAAATTACCAGCTGCTCCACGGGAGAAAGATGAGGCTTTCTGCTCCCGTAAAGATTTACAGCCTCGGAAACCCTGTACTGGGTCGCTATGGGTCGGAACTGACTCCACCACGGCACCTAACAACAACACTCTAACTCTTACACTCCTGTCTTCCACTCCCCTCACCTTTCCGGAGCCACCCTCCCTCGTGTTGCATTTTGCCTTTCCCATCACCCTAGCTGGACTCCTGGTATGGTGCTGTAAGATAAGCACTGGAATTTGGACCTCAAGGTCCGTGGTTCAAACCCACCAGGTGCTCCTCGGAAGCCTAATACAAGGTCACTAGGCGTCAGAGTCAACTCAATGGTGCTTAACCACCCAAGTCAACATTGTGTCTACCTTCTAGCCGGTGAATAAGTTCTCCTTCCCTCCCATCCCTGGTAACAATTAGAGCTTGATTCTGTTATCAAGAAAACCTCGTCTTAATGTTTACAACAGTAATCTCATACAATATTTGTCCTCTTGTGACTGACTAATCTCTTTCAGCATATTAGGAAGTGTTTTGCCGATTCATCATTCTTCTTCAGTGTTGCGTGGTATTCAATTATGTATACGTATCAATGTTTGTTTAACCTCTCTGCTGCTGATGGACATTTAGCTGTCTCCATCTTTGTCACTATTGTGAACACTGCTGTAATGAACATGAGTTTGCAGATATCTCTTCATGTGACCGCTCCTACTTCCTGACGATCTATATTGAGGAGAGGGATTGCTGGGTTGTACAGTATATCTATTTCCGACTTTTTGAGAAAGCGCCAGACCATTTTCCAGTCCCATCAGCAGTGTAGGAGGGTCCCAGTCTCCATACCTTCACCAGCATTTGTTGTTTTCTGTGGTTTTGAGCCTTGTTATCAATGCTGGAATAAGATGATAGCGGAGTGTTTACGAATCGGGCTGCTAATCTCACGGTCAGCAGTTCGAAACTACCAGATGTTCCGCAGGAGAAAGATAAGACTTTCTGCTCCCGTAAAGATTTACAGCCTCAGAAACCCTGTACAAGGTTGCTATGAGTCAAACCGACTCCACGGCACACAACAACAACAATAATGGCTAATGATCATGAGCATTTGTTCATGTTTGTGGGTCACCTGAATATCTTTGGTGAAGTGTCTATTCGTGTCCTCTGCCCATTTTTAAATTGTATTGTCATCTTCTTGTTGAGGTGTTGAAGTGTTCTGTAAGTTTCAGACAACAGTCCCTTGTTTGATATATGATTGCCAAAAATTTTTTCCCAGTCTTTTAGTGAAATCTTTGGGTGCACATAAGGGTCCATTTTCAGGAGGTCCTATTAAGTCATCTATTTTGTCTGTTTGTGTTGTCTGTTATAGTTGATAGTGTTTGTGCCATGTATCCGGTACCTATTTTTTCATTTGATGATCTTTACAGTTCCAGGTTTTACACGTCACTCTTCAATCTCCATTGAGTTCGCTTTTGCATATGGTGTGAGATGCAGCTCTTACCTCACTCTTCTGCGTGCATTTCCAGTTTTGCCAGCACCATTTGTTGAGGACACTGTCTCTTCCCCATTTAATGTGCCTGGGCCCTTTGTCGAAGATTAGCTGAACACAGATGGATGGATTTACATCTGGATTCTCAATTGTGTTCCACTGATCAATGTACCTTTCACTGTACCGGTACCAGGTGATTCTGACTATATTGGCTATGTATGAGGTTTTGAGATCGGGAAGTAAGAGGCCTCTTGGTTTGTTCTTATGTTTCAGTAATGCTTTGCTTATCCAAGGTCTCTCTCCTTTCAGTATAAAGTTGATGTTGTTAGGTTATTAGCATTAGTTCCAACCCATAGCAACCCTACATACAAGAAAACACTCCAGTCCTGTGCCGGGCTCACAATTGCTGTCACGCTTGAGCCAACTGTTGCTGCCACTGTGCCAATCCATCTTGTTGGGGGTCTCCCTCTTTTTCGATGACCCTCCACTTTACCAAGCACGATGTATCAGGAAGGGACTGGTCCTTCCTCATAATATGTTCAAAGTATGAGAGACCAAGTCTGGCCGTCTTGGCTTCTAAGGAGCATTCTGGTTATAATTCCTACAACATAGATTTGTTTGTTCCTCTGGCAGTCCATGGTACCTTTAATATTCTTCTCCGACACCATAGCTCAAACACATCAATCCTTCTATGGTCTCCCTTAGTCATTGCCAACTTTCACATGCATATGAGGTTATTGAGAATACCACAGCTTCAATCAGGGGCACCTTAGTCCTCAAACTGCCATCTTTGTTCTTAACACTTTAAAGAGGTCTTGCGCAGAAGATTTGCCCAATGCAATACGTTGTTTGATTTCTTGACTGCCGCTGATTACGTTTTCCATCTCTTTAATGAACGATGTGGAATCTGGACTGCATTCTATCTATAGATTGCTTTGGGTAGTTTTGACATTTTCATTCACAAGGTTAAGTCTTCCTATCCATGAGCATGGTTATTCCTCCATTTGTGTTGGTCTCTTTTGGTTGCTTAATGTTTTATAGTCTTCTTTGTATAAGTCTGTTGCTTCTATGATTATGTTGTTGTTGTCAGGTGCCATCGAGTCGGAACCGACTCATAGCGACCCCATGCACAGCAGAACGAAACAATGTCCGATCCTGGGCCAACCTCACTACCGTTGCCACACTTGAGTCCATCAATGATGCCACCTGGCTGATCCATCTCGTTGGGGGTCTTCCTCTTTTTCTCTGACCCTCCACCTTACCCAGCATGACATCCTTCTCCAACGATTGTTTCCTCCTGACAATATGTCCAAAGTATGAGACAGACTGTGATTATAGTTATTCCTAAGTATTGCATCTTTGGGGGGTTACTGTAAGAAGTATTTCTTTCCTGATTTCCTTTTCAGAGTTCTGTTAGTGTAAAGGGATCCCCCAGATTCTGTATGTCAATCTTACATCCTACCACTCTGCTGACTCTTTAAATGAGGTTCAGTAATTTGCTTGTTGAGTCTTTCTCCTGTAGAACAGATGCCGGTTTCGAACTGCTGACCTTGAGGTTAGCAGCCTGACTCGTAACTACTACGCTACCAGAGCTCCTTTGACAGTCCGTGGTACTTTTAAGATTCTTCTCCATAACGCAAATGTTATCAAGTCTTCTACCATCTTCCTCATTCATTGTCAACTTTCACATGCCTATGAAACTATTGGCAATGCCAGTAGAGTCTTGAACACCCTAAAAGAGGTCTTGTGCAGCAGATTTGCCTAGTGCAATACGTCATTTGACGGCTGCTTCCATGAGTGCTGATTGCAGATTGAAGCAAAATGAATCTTTGACAACTTCAATCCTTTCTCCATTTATCATGATGTTATTTAGTGGTCCAGTGATGAGGGTTTCTGTTTTCTTTACATTGAGGTGCAATCCACACTGAAGGCTGAGCTCTTTGATCTTCACTTGTAAGTACTTTAAAAATCCTCTTCACTTTTCAATAAGCAAGGCTGTATCATTTTCATATCACAGGATATTAATGATTCTTCCTCCAATCCTGATGCCGTGTTCTTCTTCATATAATCTAGCTGCTCCGATCATTTGCTCAGCATACAGACTGAGTAAGTATGGTGAAAGGCTACAAACCTGGCGCATATCTTTACTGATTTTAAACCATTCCGTGTACCCTTGTTCTGTGCTAACAACTGTCTCTTGAGCTTCAGACAGGTTCCTCATGAGCACAACTAAGTGTTCTGCAATACTCATTCTTTGCAATATTATCCACAGTGTGTCATGACCTACACAGTCAAAAGCCTTTGCATTGTCAGTAAGCACAAGTAACTGTCTTTCTGATATTTTCTCCTTCCAGCCAAAACCCATCTTACATCAGAAATGATATTACTTGTTCCACGTCCTCTTCTGAGACCAGCTTGAATTTCTGGCAGTTCTCTGTCGATGACTATTGCAGCTGTGTTTCAATTACCCTTAGCAAAATTTTACATGCATGCGATATTACAGATATTGACTGATGATTTCTGCAATCTATTTGGTCACTATTCTTTCAAATGCACAAAAATATAGATCTCTTCCAATCAGTTGGCCAGGTAAACTGTCTTCCAACTTTTATAGTATTGATGAGTGAGTTCCTCCAGTGCTGCATCAGTTTGTTGAAAGATTTCAATTTGTATTCCATTGATTCCTGGAGGCTTATTTCTCAACAATACCTTCAGTGCACCTTAGTACCACTGGGTCTTGGTCATATGGTACCTCTTGAAATGGCTGAACATCGTCCATTTATTCTTGGTGCAGTGACTCTGAGTTTCCTTTTCATCTTTTGATGTTTTCTGCATCGTTCTCAATATTTTGACATAGAATCCTCCAATATAACAAGTCGAGGCTTGAATTTTGCCCTCAGTTCTTTTACCTTGCGAATAGTCGTGTTCTTCCCTTTTGGGTTTCTAACTCCAGGTCTTTGAACATTTCATTCTAATACTTGACTTTGTCTTCTCGAGCTGCCCTTTGAAAATTTCTCTTTGGTTCTTTTACTTCCTTATTTCTTCCCTTCACTTCCCTTTCTCTTCACTCAAAAGCAAGTGTCAGAGTATCTTTTCACATCCGTTTTGTTTTTGTTTTTTCCCAAAGTTTTTATTGTGAATTGAGTGATAGGTTCACATCCATCTTTGTCTTTTCTTTTTTTCCTGTCTTTTAATGACCTTTTGGAGTCCTGGTGTGGCACTATGGGTTAATGCACTTGGACTGCAGAGTCGATCTGAACCGCAAGGTTGGCGGTTCAAGCTCACCAGACACTCCTAGGAAACCCTATACAGAATCACTATGGGTCAGAACTGACTCGATAGTACTTATCAACAACAATGATCTTTTGCTTTCTTCCTATATGATGTTCTTGATGTCATCCCACAACTCTTCTAGTCTTTGGTCATTAGTGTCTAATACATCAAATCTCTTCTTCAGATGACTTCTAAATTCAGATGGGACATATTGAAGGTCATATTTTAGCTCTTGTGGACTTGTTTTCATTTTCTTCAGCTTCAGCCTGAACTTCCATATGAGCAATTGATGGTCTGTTACACAATCTGCCCCTGGCCTTGTTTTGGCTGATGATATGGAGCTTTTCCACAGTCTCTTCCCACATGTGGAGTCGATGTAATTCCTGCGTACTCCCTTTGGTAAGATCTATATGTACAGTTGTCTTTTATGTTGTTTTAAAAACTTACTTGTGATGATTAAGTCATTGCTGTTGTTAGGTGCCATTGAGTTGGTACCAACTCATAGCGACCCTATGCACAGAACAAAACACTGCCCAATCCTGGACCAACCTCACTACTGTTGCCACGCTTGAGCCCACTGATGCTGCCACTTTGCCAACCCATTTGGCTGGGGATCTTCCTCTTTTTCTCTGACCCTCCACCTTGTTACTAAACATGATATCCTTCTCCAGCGACTGGTCCCTCCTGACAATATGTCCAAAGTATGAGACACAAAGTCTGGCCATCCTGGCCTCCAATGAGCCCTCTGGCTGCACTTCTTTCAACACAGATCTGTTGGTTCTTTTGGCAGTCCATGGCACTTTCAATATTCTCCTCCAACACTGTAACTCAAAAGCATCAATTCTTCTACGGTCTTCTTTATTCATTGTCCAGCTTTCGCATGCATATGAGGTTACTGAAAATACCATGGCTTGGGTCAGGTGCACCTTAGTCCTCAAGCTGACATCTTTGCTCTTTAACACTTTAAAAAGTTCCTGTGCAGCAGATTTGCCTAATGCAGTATGTCGTTTGATCTCTTGACTGCTGCTTTCGTGAGTGTTGATAGTTGATCCAAGAAAAATGAAGTCCTTGACAGCTTCAATCATTTCTCCATTGATAAGAATATTGTTTTTGGTCCAGTGGTGAGGATTTTTGTTTTCTTGACATTGAGATGCAATCCATACCGAAGGCTGTGCTCTTTGATCTTCATCAGTAAATGTTTTAAGTCCTCTTATTGGTCTTGCAAAATTCTATCAAGCAATCTCCAGCATTGTTTCTATCACCAAGGGCGTATTTTCTAACTACTGATCCTTCCTCTTTGTTTCCAATCTTCACGTTCTAGCCACCAGTAATGGTCAATACATCTTGACTGCATGCTTGATCAATTTCAGACTGAAGAAGTTGGTAGAATTCTTCAATTTCATCATCATTGGCTTTAGTGGTTGATGCATTAATTTGAACAGCAGTCTTCCTTATAGGCGTATGGATATTATCCTATCACAGACAGCATTCAACTTCAAGATAGATCCTTGATAGTTCTGACAATGAATGTGACACCATTTCTCTTCAATTTGTCATTCCCAGCAGAGTAAAATAACTATATTATTATCCGATTCAAAATGGCCAATACCAGTCCATTTCTACACTGTGGGCTAATGCACGGACTGCAAAGTTGATTTGAACCTCAAGGTCAATGGTTCAAGCTCACCAACCACTTCTTGGACACCCAAGACAGGGTCACTATGGGTCAGAACCAACTCAGAGGCGCTTAACAACGCCCAGGGTATCCATTTTTATGTGTTCCATTTCATTTTTAGCAACTTCTAATGTTACCAGATTCACACTTCCTACATTTCATGTTCCAATTTCTAAGGAATGTTTGCAGCTGGTTCCCAAAGGTGGCGGGGATGGACGGGGAGAGGGAGAGTTCTGCTTGGGGGGGAGGGGGAGAGGGGCATGCACTGAGTCGATGTTCATGGTTGTGGTGGTTAGGGGGTCCCTGCCAACTTGCTGGGCCAGTTTAACAGCTGCTGCTGCCATTTTGGAGTCAATTCTGACTCATAGTGACCCTGTCTAGGGTTTCCAAGGAGCAGCTTTGTGCGTCTGAACCACCCACCTTAAAGCTAGCAGTCTAGTGCTTATCTACAGTGCAAAACTAGAAATCCAGCCCAGTTAATTTGCAACAATTCCCCGTGGTAAGATCTGATGTGATCAGTCCTGAGCTGACGTGAGTCTGCTATGCGTTGTACGTCCTCACTTCCAGGATCTTACTGGGGCCGCATACAATCTACAGGAATAGACTCTATCTGGGGCCAGTCTCTTCTGAGACAAAAAAGGAGAGCGAAATGAGCAGAGGGAGAGACCTACTGCCACCAAGAAAGAACTGGGAGTGGGGTATGTCCTTTGGACCTGGAGTCCCTGTCCTGTGAAGCTCCCAGATTCAGGGGAAATTGGACACCAAGACCCACGGAGATCCGCAAGGAATGCTGGGCCTATGGATGCTGAGAGGGGACAAGGAGCTCTCCCCAGAGCTGGCAGTGAACTCTGAGAGAATACAAGGAATGCTGGGCCTACGGATGCTGAGAGGGGACAAGAAGCTCTCCCCAGAGCCGGTGCTCTGAATTCAGACTTCCAGCCTTCTACACTGGGAGACAATGAATGTGTTTGTTAAAACCCCCAGCTGGGGGGACACAGAGAACTGAGGCAGTGGCTGGTGGTGACACGATTCGGAAAAGGGATGCAAGAATGGGTGCACAACTTGAAGAAGGCAATCAATGTCGCTCAATTGTATATGTGGCAATTGTAACACTGCTAAAGGTTTCGTTACATACAGGGGGTGGGGGGTCTTCAAAAAGTTCTTGGAAGAATGGAATTAAAACATACTGGAATTTTTCCACAAACTCTTTGAAGGTCGCCCCCCTTGTATATTTCCACCACAACAAACAGAAGTACAATGAGTGTTTGTTGTTAAGTGCCTTCGAATCATTGCCAATTCATAGAAACCCTTTATAGGGTTTCCCAGGAGCAGCTGGTAGGTTTCAATTGGCAACCATGCAGTTCCCTGTCCAGTGCTGATCGTACAACGCCACACCAAGAGTCCTAGAATTAAAAGTGATTAAAAACAAAACAGACGAATGGAGCTCAGGAAGGGCTTGCTCCAGGCCCCACAGCCCAGGAAACAGAGTTAGCAGAGTGTCTATCTATCAGACCCCACCCTGGCCCACCTGGCCAGGGTCTCCCACCTCACCTGCAGGACTCACCTTGAGGTCAAAGTGGGCAATGCGCTTGGAGTGCAGGTAGTGGACACCGTCCAGGATCTGCTTGAGAAACTGAGTAGCTTCGTCCTCGGTTAACGACTCCTTCTCAGCCAGGAAGTCGAAGAGCTCACCCCCCGAGACCAGCTCCAGGATGAGCACCACGTCCGTCTTGTTCTCGAAGATGTCATGTAACGTGATGATGTTGGGGTGTCGGATCTCACGCAGGATATTCACCTCCCGCTCGATCTCCTCACGGCTCACACCCCGCCGGCTGGATGACAGGCGGCGTTTCTTGATGAACTTGGCTGCGTATTCCTTCCCTGTGCCCTTCTGCCGGCACTTCCGCACGATGGCAAACTGGCCGCTGCAAGGTGGAGGACAGAGGGAGATGGACAGGGGGTGAACCAGTAACCCTTCATATGACTTCGCACGACGCTCTTAAAGGAGAAGAAACGGAACATCTCACTGGGACAAGGAGCAGTTATTTCCTCCATGCTGGAAATGCTCCTTTAGCGTAGTGATTACAGATCGGGCTGCGAACCGCAAGGTCAACAGTTCAAAACTACCAGCTGCTCCGTGGGAGAAAGACTTAGTCTTGGATCCCCGTACAGGGTCGCGATGAGTCAGAACCAACTCCACAGCATATAACAACAATGCTGGAAATGCAAGGTGTGCGCCCCCTGATGGTGTAAGAGGAAACTGCACCTTGCGCAGAAGCCACAGCCACCCTGTTGACTAGGGATGGGGATGACCCCAGTGTTTGCTGTTAGGTGCTGTCGAGGCCTTTCCGACTCATATATAGTTGAGTCCTTTCCAACCCTGTATAGGGTTTCCGAGGAAGAGCTGGTGAGCTTGAACCACTGGCCTTGTGCTTCAAACCGACCTTGCAGTTCAGCACATTAACCCACAGAACCACACCAGGACGCTCCAATCATATACAGTCATATATAATCATATATGTTGGAGTCCTGGTGTGGTGCTATGGGCTAACACGTCAGACTGCAAAGTCGTTTGAACTACAAGGTCAGCGGCTGAAGCTCACCAGCTGCTCCTTGGAAACCCTATACAGGGTTGCTATGGGTCAGAATCGATTTGACGGCACTTAACAAAAACAATCGTATATGTTGTTGTTGCAAAGTGATGTAGAGTCGGTTCTGACTCCTAGAGACACTGCATAGGGGTTCTGAGGAGCGACTGGTAAGTAGATGGAGCCACGCTATCCTACATAGTTGTTGTTAGGGGCTTTATGAAGCTTGTAGAAATGGTCCATTAGCTCATCATTCCATTCTTCCACAAACTGTTTGAAATCCCCTTGTACCTCCTCCAACACCATTCAGAAGCCTCTTTCCTATAGCCCAGCATCCCTCTAGGAACCTGAGGTTTCACAGCAGAAAGACCTAAAGCTGACAGCCTAGAAAACCCTACGGAGTAACTTCCATTTTGACACATGGGGTAGCCATGAGTAGGAATCCACTCGGGGCCACAACACCAACCCTGGAGAGGGCAAAGTGGCTCAGTGGTAGAATCCTCGCCTTCCATGTGGGAGACCCAGGTTCGAGTCCCGGCAAGTAGACCCCATGTGTAGCCTCCACCCATCTGTGCATGGAGGCTGTGTGTTGCTAGGATGTTGAACCGAGTATTAAGAACAAATGTCTGGTACTGTGCTTCTGAAAAATCAGTCACTGAAAGCCCAATGGGTAAGCAGAAGGTTCCGACAACTCAGGATGAGACTTCTCCTGCCCGGGGGCAGTGTGAGGATGACTTTCTCCTCCACAGGCTAAAGGAGGGCATTCCTACAGGAGGGCCCTAAGGTTCTAGATGAGCCCAAAGCCTTCCACTGTCCTCTCCCGCATGGACCGGCTATTTACATTCCCTTCCGCTGACATCATAGGGCTGGCCAGCAGGGAGCTCACCAAATAAGGATGGAGTCTCCACAAAGAAGAAGGTGGGCCTAGGGGAGGAGGGGAGGGGGTGGGGGAAGAGGCGGGGGTGGGGGGAGGTCCCAGAGGACCCTCAGAGGCCCTGCCAGACAGGAAATCAGCTGCCTGACTAGAATGGGAAATCTCAGCTTTTCCTCAAAAGAATGCAGAACAATGGAAGGGGTGTGAACCCAGACAGGAGCCCTTTAAACGTACAAGAAGAGTCCAAGGGAATTCAGCAGTGCCCACTGAAGACCAGGCGGACCTTTAATAATTAAAGCAGCCAGGGAGTTATCTATTGCTATCACGGAGGCTCTGGGTGGTACAAATGCTGAATGTACTTAGCGGCTAAGCAAAAGGTTGGTAGTTCAAATTCACTCAGGTGACGCGGAAGAAAGACCTGGCAATTTAAAAAAAATAATAAGCAGCCATTAAAAACCTTACAACGCACAGTTCTACTCTGACACACATGGGGTGTGTCCGAGTCAACTTGATAGTAATTTAAGCTTTGTTGCTCTCTCACTGTATGTAGTTTGAACCCACCAGGATGGAAAAAGACGTAGCAATGTGCCCCCATAAAGACGGCAACCTAGGAAACTCTATGGGTTAACTATACTATGAGTTGAAATCAATTTGTTGGTATCAACATCGTAGGCCAGGCACTGTGTGTTGTTGCTCAGGGCTGTCTAGTCAGTTACAACTCATAGCAACCCCTTATAGGGTTTCGGAGGCATGGCCGGTGGGCTTGAACTGCCAATCGTGCAGTGAGCAATCCAGTGTTTATCCTACTGTGTCACACCAGCACTCCATGTTAGGGACTATCTATACTCCATTACATTTCTCCCCAGAAGAAATGAACAGGAATATCCCAACAAGAATGAGCAGCTGAAACCCGCTGACTCTAAAACCCGACCCTGTTTCACGAGCACGTGACCCTGACTTGTTTCCTCTGGAGGAGTCAGACACAGGACAGGAAATCCCCCCTCCTCTTCCCAGTTCCCCTGGCCCCGTCCACTGCTCACCTGCCCAGCTCCTCCCCCATCTCGTAGTGGTCCTCCACGTCTTCCTGCCTGAATGTGGACATGGCGTTGCCTTTGCCTTCTAGGGGCTTCCACTCCAGCAAGCCACAGCCTGGGGACAGGCAGGACCTGGGGGCTGTACCCTCAACGTAACCCTGGAGGAGACAAGGAAATGGCCATTGTTCCAAGCACCAGCCTCACCTCCCTCCCACTGAAGAGGTGCAGGTTTCAGCGGCGCGTCCAGAATGAGACAGGATAAAGGAAGAAAGGGTAGGATTTGTCCTCTGGTACATGGAGCCCCTCAGACCCCAAGTGTATAACAGACTAAGTACTTTCATGTATCACCTGGTTTTGACATAACCACCCCAAAGGGTGAGTATGGGCCCCTTCGTGCCAACTTCATCAACAAACTCTCCTCACAGTGTCTCTCTGCCTCCCTCTCCTAAACCTCTCCCAACCTGCTCATCCAGAGTCCTCACACATTCCAGAATGCTCCCCACACTCTTCCCACCCTACTCCCCAGGATGCCCTTCCTCCCTTAAAGCCTCCTGGTATAAACTCCACCCCCAACAGACTACCAATTCTCTACCCATCAGCTACCTTACTCCTCCTTAGAAAGGTACCTCTCGTCTCTTCTTGTTCTGAGAAAACCCACAGCAGTGGACTCAATGGGTCAGAGAAAAACTGCTCTTTCGGATTTCAGGGCGCCTCATCTTTTTCCCTCAGAAAGGCTGATGGGTATGAACCATTGTCTGCCTTGCATCTAGCAGGACGGGGGGCTTGACCCACGGCACCACCAGGTTCCTTGCTGTTGGGGGGACATCAAATGGATTCCGACCCACAGCAACTCCATGTGACAGAGCAGAACCATCCCACAGAGTTTGCAAGGTGGTAATCCTAATGGAGGCTGTAATTTTAGCATTAGACTGAGAACCACAAAGTGACCAGCTCAAACCCACCAGCTGCTCCTTGGAAACCCCATATGGGTTAGTGTGAGTCAGAACCAACCAGATGGCATTTTAAAACAACAATCTTTATGGAAACGCACTGTCAAATCTTTCTCTTGCTAACGGCTGGTGGGTTTGAACCACCAACCTTGGCTATTAGTCAAGTGCTTTAGCCATTGCTTCCCCTGATCCTGATTCCTAGAGACTGGACAATGGCTTCTGAGCTCCTGCAAGCTCCCCCTGGTCACTTTTGCGACCCCTTCCACCATCCTAACAAAACTAAAATCTTCCTTCACCCTCCTCTAGGGTACCCACTACAAGTATCAAAGGCCCCCCAGCCGTGTCTTCCTGTCTCCCCCATCCCGCAATAGGACCACAATGAGTCTCCCCCATCGCCCTTCACCCTCCCCAGCATGTGCCCAACCTCAGCACAAACGCCAAGACTCTACCCCAATGACCCCATGAATGCACCCCAAAGTCTCCTGGCCCTGACATTCCTCATTAAGCATCCCTGCGAGCTCCTACTCCGGCCTGGTCACAAGGCACGCCCCAGACCCTCCCACTGTCTCCTCAAAACCACCACGCGCCTCCCCCGGCCGCTGCCCAGCCCATCGGCTTCGCACCGAGTCCGCAGCGCACCCTTGGGGCCCCGAGCCCCTGGCCTGACCCACCGCCGCTACACCTCCGCCGACTCGGTGCCCGGCCCTGCAGCCTCTGCCGCCGTGACGGACTGATGTCATCGCGTCTGTCAGTGTCCGCCCCGCAACGCGGACCCCTAACGTCCATTGGTCCGCACGGCAGCCGCTCGAGACGCCACCTAGACGCCCGCTTTTCCAGTCCAGGCCCTAGAAGTTTTCTTGCCATTGGCCATCGGCCGTGTCTTACCGCAGCTGATTGGCTACAGAAGACGATGATCACAGTGACGGAATAATGCTGTTTTCCGGAGCTTGGGACGCCCCGCCCACTTCCTCTTCCTGGGTCCTGAAGCTGTGAGGGCGGGATGTTAAAGGCGACTTCGAAGGGGCTACCTTTCTCCCTCGCCAGCAACGTTGAGTTGGAGACCCGGTCCAGTGCGCGCTGAAACTGCAGCGGTGGACCCCGGCGCTGCGTTCATCCCTGTGTTGCAGCTTTGCCCTTTGTAAAATCCTGCCCACGTTCTAAATACAAAAATATATGCAAACGGAAAGTCGTCTCAGGGAATTGGTACTTCTGCTGTGGGCTGTTGCCAATATTATTTCTGGAATTCCTGTTGGGCACAAGATGAATGAGAAGAACTGTTAATATTTATTGAGCCGAAAGGTTGATGGTTTGAGTACATCCAGCAGCTCTGCGGAAGAAAGACTTGGCGATCTCCCATAAAGGCAACAGCCTGGGGAAACCTATTGCGTCCCAATGAGTCAGGATCCTCTTGACAATACGCAACGTTTATTTCTTGGTGTTGATGCGGAAGATGTTAACTGATGGGAAACTGGGTGAGGGGTGGACTGGAGCTTTGGGTAAGTCCAAATTCATTCAAAAATAAAAGAATTTTTTTTCCAGGTTAAAATATTTTTAGCGTGTTATGTCAAGCAATGACAGATTAGGAATTGAGATACTTAGAAATGCATTTTCCATCAACATAAATGGGCAGGGCTGGTGCGCAGGACGTTTCTTAGTGGCAGGCCAGTTCCATGCTTTCAGGGAATTCAATATCCCTGGCTCCTTCCTTGTAAATAGATTTACCCATCTTTATGACAACCTGGTGTGACAGTGTGGCAGTGTGGGTTAATAATGCACTGAACTGCAAAGTCAGTGTGAACTACAAGGTCAGCAGTTCAAGCTCACCAGTCACTCCTCAGAAACCCTATACAGACAGGATCACTGTGGGTCGGAACCAACTCATTGGCACTTAAAAACACAAAAATGTCCAGATTTCCAGAATAGTCCCTACCAAGAGACAGTGGCACTGCTGTTGACAAAGTCTTTTTCAGCTGTATGTTCTGAGTGTTGCTTATTCAAGAAAGATAAAGAGGAACTCTAAAGATGACAAGAGATCTTATTATAGTTTTGGTTCCAACTCATGGTGATGCTGTGTACAACAGAAGGAACACTATGCGGTCGTGCACCATCGTCCTCACAGCCTTGGCTATTTGACCCCATGTTGCGGGTCTTGCACTGATACTCTACTAAGAATGATGTCCTTCTCCAAGGACTGGTCCCTCCTGATGACCTGTCCAAAGTACATGAGAGGAAGTTTCACCATCCTGGCTTCTAAAGAGCATTCAGGTTGTACTTCTTCCAACACAGATCTGTTCAGATTTACTCATTCCCTGGTGGTTATGTGCCATGGAGTCAGTTCTGACTCATAGTGACCCTGTACAGGGTTTCCGAGGCTGTAAATCTTTACCGGAGCAGAAAGCCTCATCTTTCTCCCACAGAACAACTGGTAGTCATGGTATTTAATATTCTTCACTAACACCATAATTCAAAGATACCAAGATTATTGAAAATATTATGGCTTGGGTCACATATACTTTAGTACTCAAACTGCCATCTTTGCTCTTTAACACTTCCAAGAAACCTTTTGCAGCAGATTTGTACAGTGCAATACCCTCTTTTGATTTATTGACTGCTACTTCCATGAGCTATTCATAGAGTTTTCAGTGACTAGCGATTCGGAAGTAGTTTGTCACTCTGTCTTCCTAGTCTGTCTTTGTTTTGTAGCTCATCTGAAACCTGTCCACCATGGGTGACCCTGCTGGTTATTTAAAACACCGGTGGCATAGCCCCCAGAATCACAGCAACTCAGACCACCACAGCACGACAGACAGACGAGTGGTGGCTGTTTGGTTTTATGTCTATACTGTCTCTTTAAATTTCGATGTCAATCTTGATACAATCCTGATATAATCAAGAACACCTCTAACGAGATGGATTGGCCAGGTGGCATCATTGATGGCATCAAGTGTGGCAGCGGTAGTGAGGTTGGCCCAGGATCGGACATTGTTTCGTTCTGCTGTGCATGGGGTCGCTATGAGTCGGTTCCGACTCGATGGCACATGACAACAACTTTCTGGTCTGTTTTTTCAACCAAGATACAGCTGATGTCAGCATTGATTGTCGATTGAAAATAAAATGAAATCTTTGATCATTTCGATCTTTTCTCTATTTATCATGATGTTTATTTATTGATTGGTCCAGTTGTGTGGGTCTTTGTTTTCTTTACATTAAGGGGCGATTCATACTGAAGGATGGATGGAGTCTTTAATATTGATCAGTAAGGATTTCCAATCCTGTTTGCTTCCAACAAGCAAGGCTGTATCACTTACCTATCACAGGCTGTTGTTAATGGGTCTTCCTCCAATGCTGATGCCACGTTCTTCTCCATTATAATCCATCTTTTTGGGTTATTTACTCAGCATACAGATAGAATAGTATGTACATACATACATACCCCTTTCTTGATTTTAAGCCACTCAGTATCCCCTTGTTCTGTTTGAATAACTGCCTCTTGGTTTATGTAGTTTCCTCATGAGCACAGGTAAAATTTCTAGAACTTCCACTCTTCACAATGTTACCTGTATTTTGTTAGCCACATAGTCTGTTATCTTTGCATAGTCAATAAAGCACACAAGTAAACATCTTTCTGGTCTGTTTTTTCAACCAAGATACAGCTGATGTCAGCAATATCCCTTGCTCCACATCCTCTCCTAAACCTGACTTGAATTTCTGGCAGCAATTTGTCAAAGTACTACTGCAACCATTTAAAATTTTTTCTTCAGCAAAATTTTGCTTGTGTGTGACATTAGTGATATTGTTCATTCTGTTGGGTCACCTTTCTTTGGAATGGGCACAATTGGTTGGCCAGGTAGTCAGTTGTCCTCCCTAAATATTGGCATGGGTGAATGAGCAGGTATTTGTTGAAACATTTATTTGTATTTCATCAATTCCTCAATTGCTTTCTGCCATTGCCTTCAGTGTACTTTATACATCTTCCTCGAATACCATCAGTAATCATATGCTACCTCTTGAAAGAGCTGACCATCCATCAGTTCTTGGTACAGTGACTACATATTCCCATCTTTTGATGCTTCCTGCGTCATTCAGTATTTTCCCATAGCTTTCCATGTTGCAGCTCAAGGTTTGAATTTCTTCTTTGCTTTTCTAACTCCAGGTCTTTACAATATTTGACTTCC